GTTTATTCAGAAATTTTGATTAATTTTCTCTTGAACAAAATTTATTATCCTTAACTTTATATTGTGAATTTTAGAGAATTGTGTATTGTATTGAAGTTTATGGCATTTGATTTATTTGCTAATTAAACAAATACATATAATGACTTTTTTTAAAAAAATTAAATGTTCCAGAATTCTGAAGTTTGAAATTTTATTTTATTTTTTTTTGAAAAAAAAAATTTGTAATTATTATTATGGAAAAATAAAAATTTCGATATTGTATTTAATGCTGCATTTCACTGAAATAGAAGTTAATTGAACAAGACCGTCATTTAACGATTAAATCAATCATTCATCAGTCAAGATAAACTATAGATTTCTCTCCGAGAATTTGGCCTCAACGTTTGTTGCATAACTTCAATGTACTTTTTAAGATCTTTGCGAGTTTTTTCTGCCTTAGGAGCCATACGCTTAACGAATGGTTTTGTTAACCGTTCTTTTCCATATTGAGAAATCAACTTGTTAATAAAATATTCGATTTCAATCATTTGTCCTTCCCAACCGTTCTCAAAATGAGAGGTGTTTCCAAGAATAATATTTTCAATACCGTTTTGAAGCTCTCGTAGAACTTGCGAGAGCACTTCTCTAACACTTTCTAGTTTGTAATCTAGATAAGTATCGGTAATTGATAAAGCATCAGCAACAGCCGAACTGTAAAATTTATTTATATGGTAAATGCGAATCCTGATTATAATCAAAATTAACCTTATAAATATTTACCTTCCAACGTATGCCATCGCGCCAACATCTAAGGCAACCGCATCGAACTCAATAGCAGCAGCTGACACAGCTAACGATGCTCCACTTGTAAATGGAACTGCAGCAATTTTAGCAATCACAGCCAAGGTTCCAATTCTGACTACCGCTAGGCCACCATTCGCTAAATTTGTTGCACTATCTTTTATTTGCTTTGCCTTCTCAGCCTTACTATTTAAATTATCTCATTTTTTGGAAATTTTCACTTCATATTTGAAAATTTCATTATTAATCTTAGTTAAATCTTCTTTAACTTTTTTAAGTTGTTTCGTTAATAATAGAACATTTTCTTTATCTTTCCTAAAACCACTTAATAATGATCTTAATAATTCCAATAGATCGTAATTATCAATATCATCATCTTCACAGCATTCAATAAGGTCAATCAAATCTTCGGTATTAAAGCGTATGCTGCAAGTATGAGTTACAGATTTATAAATGGCATTTCGAAATTCCTCATTTTGTTTAGAAATTTGGCTAATTTTCTTTTTAATAAAGTTATCTTGAATTTCAAATTTAATTCTTTGAAAATCAGAAAATTTATTGAGAATCTGAATTGTACAATTTTGTAACTCGGTCACTTCGAGACTTGTCATTTCGCTGATTTAAAAAAAAAAGATTAAATTTTAAAATAAAATTGGTGATTACAAAGAAGTATGAGGTTTATTTCACATTAAAAGACGATATTAATAAAAAA